ATTTCTGCACGCCCAAATCGGTTCGAGGTCAGTAAGCACAACCAGAATTCATACATAAGGCACACTCTCGATTTTTGAGAAAATTAAAGGATTTTTAGTGTGGAAAATACGTTATACAGAAGAAAAGAATATATCGTGATATATATCGTTACTGCACATGCTTCAAATTATATCGCGATATGAATTTTAGGCCATATCGCCCAGCCCTAGTCACAATCAACCAGGGTTTTGGGTGAACCCATTGTGAAACCTAGCTCCACCCTATCATGTGATTTCTTGAGGTCAGATGGCCCAGGATGTGAGTGGGCGTTAAGGCATCTGGGAAGGGATCTCAAAACTGGATTATAGAGGACAGACAGTTGGTGTCGTAAACCACCACCTCTGTTCAAAGATGGTCGTTCACAGTGGACATAAATGGCTTCTTTCACTCTTCTTTCAAACCATCTGTCTTCTCTGTCCAAAATGTGAACATTAGCATTGTATTGTCCCGTCAAGGTGGCTCTTCTATGTTGTGCCGTGCGTTTATGAAGTGGCTGTTTGGTCTCTCCAATGTAGAAGTCTGAGCATTTCTCGCTACACTGTACATCATACACTAAGTTGTGAAGTTTGTGTTTAGGAGTTTTATCTTTGAGATGAACCAGGTTTTGTCTGAGTGTGTGGCTGGGCCTAAAGTACACTGGGATGTCATGCTTGGGGAACTCGCCCGAGTTTCAAGCTCCTTAGACCTGGATGACTGAGAACCTTCACAGACATATTCTGTATTAGCTTTTTGTTCTGTTAATCCTTCCCTTGTGGCCCTTTATGTCAAGTCGGTCATCTCTGTGTAATTACTTCCCGTTTTTCTTTGGTAGTCTTTTGTAACCTGTGCTTTTACATTGAGTTCTACTTCCCTTGTCTCATCATCCTGATTTGTTCCCCATCTATTTTCCCCTTAGTGACAGATAACAGGCTCAGTTCTACAAATTTGACACAGAGAGGCACAAGGGCAAGACTAATAAAAGAATAGACTATACAAAATAAACCTAAAACAGAATAGAACCAGAAACTAAAAGAAAAGAATTAGGACTCAAGATATTTAGAAACATGGAAAACAAGAATAAACAACAATGAACAACCTGCGAACCAACAGAACTTTAAATAATAACAAGAATTCAAAGTTCGTGACAGAAAACCATTTACCCAAAACTCCTTTGTTTTTCCAAGAGTAGTTAATGATTCATTTGGAGTTATTCTTTGGTGCTCCTTGTCTTTTTGTCTGTTTTTTAACCTCCTGTTGGGAAGAATTGTACGGTCATGGTAAAAAGAAAGTACACCCCCTATCAGTTCTAAGGTTTTACATATCAGGACATATTTCTTTCTTTCCATGTCTTGAATACAACCTGAGCTGAATGACAGCACATGACACACGACATCATCATGTCATTATTTATTTAGCAGAAACCAAGCCAAAACAGGAAAGCGGTGCAAGCAAGTCGCCATGATTCAGTAGCTTGTAGAACCACTTTTAGCAGCAATAACTCGAAGTAATCATTTTCTGCATGACTTCATCAGTCTCTCACATCGTTGTGGAAGAATTCTGGCCTGCTCTCCTTTGCTTCAGTTCATTGAAGTTTGTGGGCATTTGTTTATGCGACGGCTCTCTTATGGTCCAGCCACAGCATTTCAGTCTTGACTTTTTTTTTTGCAATTTCTCTGAGAATGGCACAGTCTGACTTTGGGATGAATTTGCCTGGATGTCCACTCCTGAGAAGACCATCGGCTGTCTTGCCTGTTACCACTTGTGAATAATCTTTTTCATTGTGAATGATGGACTTTAAATTTGTTGGATTATTTGGCCTTTCCAGATTGCTGGGCAGCTTCTCTGAGATCATTGCTGATCTCTTTCCCCCTGAACGCTCCAGGCCAGCAAACTGCCAAAACCACTGCTTTTATAGACCCTCTTAATCCCCATGGAAAGGGTGTGCCTAGTTTTTTTTTGTTTTGTTTTAGTTTGTTTACATGCTGCTTCTGCATTTTGGCTCAGTTTTTTTGTTTAATAAATAATGACTCAGTGTAATCTTGAAAGATAAAACCTTAGAATTAAAAGAGTGTGTTTTTTCTTTCACCATAATTGTACCTGCTATTTATTTCTACACAACATCATTAGGATACTTGTTATTTTGGCTATTTCTAGACTTGGTAATAAGAAGGCAGAATTCCTGAACTTCCCTCTTGACATCCTTCCTCTTAGACCAACCTTGGGTTATAATAACAAATAAAAAATATCCACTCCTGGTGTTTTAACATAAAACTTCAATTTAATCCACTTAAAGCACTCACGGCAACAAATATCCTACAGCTGCCTCTTGCTTTTACATTTAAATAACTTTTTAAACAACAAAAATACATTTAAAATCACAGCAAAACATGTTTGTTACCCCAAAGCAAACCACTGAAATAACAAACTAATGTAATGTGAGCTCAAGATAAAACTGAGCTGTCTGAAAGCTGCTGCCAGTGATGTGCATTAGTTAAACCCCACAAGACTAATTAAAGAAAATTGGCACAATGTAGCCTCCTATTAGTCTAAGGACTGAGCACATTGTGGCTGATGTTGTATACTGAACAAACAGAGCTTGTTTGCACTCTACGTTTACACTCTAACCAGCCAGACTGCATCCTGGTGCTCCATATCCAAAAACCGCAGGAGAGCAAAGAAGCCAACAGCACATTTTTTTTTTAAAAGCCACCTAGCACCTCATTCATTCAATTCAAACAAACACTCAGTCCACACATTTAACTAACTCCATCCCCCACGTTTTTACACATAGGAAGTAATGTGAAAGAGACAGTTGCTTTTCAAGTACCTGTTCTTGGCACGCCAAACTGTGGGGAGGGGGTTAATATTGAAGGGCTCAGCGTGGCTGGGGCATGGCCCTCGTGATCAGAGGCGTGATTATAATCATTGCAGACATGGTCTCTCATATGACACGCATGGATCATACAATAGCAAAGTCAAAAAGGCTAGCTGGTCGCAGACTTACACACATGTGCATGCACATACCTCAGCAGGGCATAAAAGGTGAGATAATGTGCCACTGATCTCGTGGTTTAATCAGTAACATAAATACAGAACCATATCTCTACATGTTAACTGGGAAAGTCAATGAACACCACAGTTATGATCTTAACCTTCGACCGTAATCTTAAACCCACTTCAAAGGTGCACACTCAGCGTACCGCAAACACTGCTCACATTACTCATGCACTCCCATCCAGCTTGTCAAACTGGTTAAACGAGACACAGCCAACCAGATATTCCTGCTCCATTGTGCTCTTTCATGTGCACAAACGATTTTGCACGTTCAATCCCACAGTCAGTTCAGTTGTTTCTCAGCCTCTCTGCTTTACCTTCGCCCAAAAGTCACAAATCACACATGTGATTATATTCTTTCCTGAATTTTCCCATATAGGTCCAATAGAAAAATGCGCATGTAAACAACTAGCATAGAATTTCACAGCCTATGAAAAATTTAAAGTCTCCATCTCGAAAGTCGCGCTCTATCTGACCAGCAATAATGGTAATTGCCTGAATGCAAACATTTTACCAGGAAAGGTAAAGAATAAAGTGGGATTCCAAGTGGCTGCTGTCTCTACAGTGATGTTTGGAAATGCTGTGTAACAGCTTACTGTAGTGGAACAACTCAGCATCCAGTTGTGGGCTTCCACCCTGTACTACTTACTTCATTCATGCATTAACTGTGATGAGATACTCTCTGTTCTCAGAACAAAACAACCAGAAAATACTGGGCGTACTGGCAGGGCAATCGAACGGCCGCTTTCCCTCCAACGAGAGAATAACAACACTATTATCTGTCTCTCCCTTTGTGTCTTTAGTTTTGCCTCATTTCTGTCCCAGAATCCCCCTAGCATGACCCACAGCTATTTGGCTGTGAATGAGGAAAACAATGGACCGAATTATCTGCCTTCAAAAACTAAATCCTCGAGTTTAATTTAATCACCTAAAGTTACAGAGTAGCTTTACAAAAGAGTCCTAGGACTGCATTCATTTCCATTTGGAAGAAGGGGAATGGGGTCAAGGCCTGTGTTTCCCCCTCTGTGCTGCCAAAGTCATCACAGAGGGGGAAGTGGAGGAGATGGGATCGTATAGCACGTAATTGTTAGATTAAGAACCCTTCTACTGAGAGTTTGTAGTTGGGAAACAGAAAAGTCAGCAGAAGGTTTAACAGTTGGTTAACACTGTGAAATGCTCACTCGTGGTAAAATTCCCAGGGGACCAATGTGACCGGAGCAGCTTTGACTACGATAGACATAAACAGCGTGTGGCTGAGCCCACACCGTGGAGTGCATCCAAGGAACGTGGGCTCGTCAGCTAAGCAGTTTGGAGTGAGAGCAAACACTGTTAAATCTGCAAAGTAACACGTTCGGTAAACCTTTGTTTGCAACATTTTGCTAACCAAAAAAGTCCTTCATATTTGACAAATTCACCTTTGTTCTTTTGCATAACAGCATAAAGTCCAGCAACACCAGTGTGCCAAACCACAGGCCATCAAACTTCAACCTCTTTGTGTGAACCCAATGCCAACTCCTGAGCTCAGGCTTAAGCACACAAACACACAGTGTACATGCTAATTAAACATTTCATTATTTAACCATTAATCTCCTAAATGGAAAAATAATAACCAGGCAGAAGTGACAGGAGAAACGCCAGCGGGCTTAAGACGAAAAAGAACAGGCAGTCTTGAAAAGAGCAAACAGAAGGATTTTGGATTATATGGACAGTAATGGTTACAGGTATCTGGTAAAAGTTCCTAAATCAGCACTCTTAAATTAGCCCTGGCCTCTAAGGGACTGTAAAACGCTTTCGTTCGGTGTTACTCTGCCAAAAGCAGATGCCAAAGGCACACCCTCTCTTCATGTTTGAGGTGGAATAATGTATTAAGGATACCGTAGAGCAATCTGATAGCTGTGGTTAGATCTGAACATCTGGCTTAGCATCCGCATCTTTACTACAGTATGTACTGTAGTACATACTGGAAGTATGGTCAAAGAAGTTTCTTCTACACATGTCTGTAAAAGACACTTGGCTGCAGATCAGAACTCACCACCAACTGCTTGTCAGGCAAACAGTGAGAGGCAGCCAGTATCTCCTGGAGAATACCCACAAGCTCATTTGCTTACAGCTGACAGTGCACATCCTGGTAGTAACATGGAAACTGTAATGACTTTGTGCTAGATTTTATTCTAGTGCTAAATACAGAACAATATTCAACAAATAAAAGTTCAAGAAAAGCTTGTTTCAATTTCTTACTTTAGAAAGAAACTAAGTTTAAATGCTTTGTTTAAATAATAAGCTTAAATCTCCTTGCATAAATGCTAAAACAGAACAATCATCAAGAAGATTAAAAAAAAGTAAATCCGTTGGTCATCTTTCTTTGCCTTTAGACAACAATTCTGATGGCAAAAGAACCAAACGGGAAAGGCAAAAAAAAAAAGGCAAAAAGAAGATTTAAAAAAGGCAAAAAGGAAAATCACTGCCTGGCTAATATTAGCTAACCTGGCTAATATTAGCTAACCTGGCTGATATTAGCTATTGGTAGAGCCTGACTGATGTAAGGTTTTTTAAACTGATATTGATGGCAGACAGCCACCATGCGTTTGTGTATTTTTATTATTATGCATGTTTATTTTCAGTCAAGCAAAAAAATGTGATTTATCAGCTGATATTTTTTTCTCTTAGGAAACAAAACAGAAACAGATTTCACTAATATTTGCTATGTGTATCTATTTGTGAGTCCTTACTAAGATTACACAACAATCCTGTTTTAAAACGAATCTTGTTTTAATAGTATGATTTGCTCTGTATAGTTTTTATTATCATTTATTGGCTGAGCAGGCTGAGTAAATCAGCTGATATTTACCAATATACTGGAATGTGCATTTCTAAATAACATTTCGAATTAAAAAAGTAGAGATGGGAGAAATACCCTCCAACGATATGTGAGTGTTACTGTTGTTGTAGTTTGTCCACCAGAGGGAACTCGACAACACGACAACCATCTGATCCTAGCATCTAAACCAGTAATCCACGACTTGTCGTTATAATAAAACAGGATCATTTTTAACCCACACTGCCATATCATTGTAGTAAAGACTCATAAATAACTGCACTTAACAACTTTTAAGAAATGTTTGTGTTTTGTGCCTGAAAGAAAGAAATATCAGCAGCTATATCAGACTTTTAAAAACAAATATCAGTATCGGTGAATCATATATCTGTCAGGTTCTAGTGAAAGTAAACATAATAACAAGAGACACATCAAGCCATGCCAGCCTCTCTGTATTTTACTGCTGCTTAACAGCTAAACTGAGTTAAATGCTAACAAGCCTATTATAGCCTCTTAAAATGATAACAGCTCCTTAAATAGAGCTTAAAAAAAACATACAGGGAGTCTTTACTGCTGCTAATGTAGATAGAATTAATAACTGTACTGGTCACTGGTCTCAAGAAGAGTAAAAAACCAAAGCTTTTAATGCCATGTAAACCTTTACCTGGACCACTGCATTATCATAAGGTGAGCATATCGATAGATTTACACGTGCAGCTAAGCATTAAATTGTAAGCCAGACTGTCGCTAAATATGACGAGAATAATGCAAAATTACTGCTGTGTAAACCAGTAAGGTTTCAGAGGGCATATTTAAACCCTGCTCTTCTAAAATGTCATGTTGCCTGATTTTAAATTGATTTTTTTTAGGATTTACTTCTATATTTGGGAAGGCCTGAAAATGCACAAGCCTCAGGGGAGCCTTCAGGAGTACGATGACCTCTGATGCTGAGGAGTGTTTTGACTCTGCTATCAGCCACAAGGACATGACAACCGATTGTAGATAGTGAACAGACACAACATCTTTCCATATCTGGAGAGTAAGGGGGTTCATGTGTGAGATTAGAACTTTAAAACCGGATGCAGATGCCGGCTGTAATGCGTGCATGAAGATGAAATTTCATAGTGAATTTATCTAAATGCTGTACTATTCATCTGTATCTCCTGAGGAATTATCTTTCCTCAACGGCAATCCTAGTATCATCATAAACTGCATTAACATTAGTCATCCTGTTCTTTTATTTAGAGGTTCAGCAATACATTAGTATACATGAGTTATGTTAACACTCTGTAGTGTGGACGTACCGTGAGGTTCCAGTTTACGTGGGGCACCTTGGTGTGGATGTTGAGACAGAAGATCAGGAGGAGGACTCCTGTCACCACAAGAGCACTGCAGCTGACAAACTCAAAGAAGTAGACCCCTCCACAGGGGGAACACATCATGATAGTTTCTATGCAGATGAAGCCGATGAGTGAAAGGACCTGAAGTGAGAGGGAAGACAGGAGAGACAAGAGTTAAGATAAGATACAAATAAGATACACTTTGTTTATTCCACAGGTTGGGAACAGCTTATCTCAATAAAATAAATACAATATCACAAAATCAAATAGCCTGGAAAGATAAAGAATGGAAAAACTTAACAGAAAACTGAAAAAGTGCAATGTTCAAATGAGCTTAATAAGCGACATCTAACAGAGAAATGCAGGTATTGTGGTGTGAGATGGTAAAGATTTTCTGTATATGTCCTTGTGGCAGCAAAGCTGAACCAGATGTTAGAGGAGGTCTTTAGCTGGTGCAGAGGGTGGTCAGGGTCTATCAACATCCATTCACCACAGCCACAGTCATGCTGATGACCTCTGCATTGTTAACTGGGGAATCCAAATACTGTATTGATTCAAACTGGATCCAAACAAGAACTGTAACGATGGGAGAAAATTCCCCCGGCAAGCGATATGAACACAATCCCACAGCTAGAAGTTCAGTATTCAGGCCATAGACAAACTCCTTTACAGTACTGCACAGGACTACGCCGTCTTTACTTATAACTAGTGCACTGATTGCACATTTTATCTTATTATGTGCAGCAAGGAGGTGCTTTGGTTAGCATTGTCACCTTATTGCAAGAAAGCTTCTAATTCAAAGCACAGCTGGGGTCTATGTGTAATTTGCAAGTTCTTTACCAAAATACCAGCATTTATATGTTAAGACTTCACTTCATAATCCATCGTTTCTGCACGCCAAAGACAACTGCTGGTTCTAAATTTGGCTATGGATGACAGGTAGATAAAGTGCTCATATATCATAAAGCACTGCACAAATTTATGTTTAAATGTAGTCTCAAGCACTTTGAGTGCTACTATATCACATTTACCACTCTGATAAAAATCCTGCAGCCAGGTACAGTCACACTGTTCAGGAAGCATGAGTGTGGTGCTAATAGTGCAGGGATATATTGAGTATATTATGCCAACAACAGGTTAGATAATTCACTGGCTGATTAGTAAATCATCTCTAAAAACTAAAAACTAGGTCAGCATGAGCAGTCTGCATTCATTATCCTAGAATGGAGTTCATTATTCAGTCTCTTTTCTGAATAACTGTGGGATCCGTCAGACCTTTGACAAAATATGTCTGACCTTCATTTCTGAATCTGACAGTGACACATGTGAGTCTTACCAGCAACGCCAATTAACAAATGATACGCTAGCACATTAAATACAAAGTATATAAAAACTTAAAATATATACATGCTTAGTCAGTATATTGAATATAAGCATAAAGAATACTGTAAGTTATTTCTGTAAGATTATGGGATTGAAATGTCAAACTTTCCAGTTCATAAAGCGATTGTCCTATGAATAGACCAGAGTCTGTGATCCCATGAGTTCTGCTCCTGGCAGTTTGTGAAGATGCCCGCTTCCAGCCAACAGCCATCAACAAACCACAGTATGGGAAGAATTCTGCTACTTAGGTGTTCTTCTGCCATCTAGACCCCGACAAAACCACACACAGATTGCCGACTGCCTAGGAGCAGTCCAAAACCAAGAGGCATAGCAGAACCATGAAAATGCAACATAACACCGACCTGAAGTAGCTAAGAATCAGTTTTCTAATTTTATGCAAACTGCAAAGGCCAGTTTTGCATGAGCAGATGTGAAGGATGTGATAAGAGACTCCAGTTTTCCTTTCTCTTTCATTTACAAATGTTACCCCTAAAAGTCTGCGCAATGTTAGTGAAACTTCACTCAAGGTCATTTAATGCAAAACAACAGCAATCACATATCAGACATATGCAATTTACAGATCGAACACAATCTGCTTGACTAATAATTCACACACAGTCATCTCATCCACACTCAACAAAATGCACTCAAAAGAAAAACAAAACTTTGCCAAGAAACAGCTTCCCACTCTTCAGTGTTACTTGGAAGATATCCTTTGAGCTGATAAAACATCAGCTTGCAAGCATCAACCCAGCAGCAAAGCGCAGCGGCATAGCTGAGTATCATTAGTTGGTGCTGCTTTACTGCCTCTTGGCCTGGACGGTTTTCCATCATTGAAGCAAAAATGAATTTTGATGTATTGAGATATAATAAGAGCCGTCGCCTACTGTTTGCATCTGTGTTTTAGCAAACAAGACCTATTCATAAAAGATCAAAGAAGCACAATGGCTTGCAGGATCTGTGCTTCATTTACTGTATGCGGGTTGGTTGTGAATCACAAAGCCCATATTTGAACATGGAAAAATAAATATTAACTTTCGTGCTAAACAGTTTCTGTTAAGATGATTTCGGATTATTGTAATATTCCATGCAGGAATGGCTTTTTGTCCAAGTTGTTAAAACATTAAACACCGAGCTGCGCTCAAGTAGAAAAGCTTGAAAGGTAAGATCATTTTTTGCTTTTCAAAGAAAGTTACTGAAGAAACTGGGTCAAGTTTGAGGCAGGTATTTTTTTTTATTTCACTACTTGTCATTACTAACAAATCTAAGCAGTTTAAGCACAAACAGCATCCCCTTTTCTTTGGCTCTGGCTTATTTTAGCTACTCAACTGTCTCTGTGTCTTCTGTTGCAAAAGAAAAATGATCACTTTAACAGCAGATATTTGTCCTTTAACTACATTTTACATTAAAACAAAACATTTATCAAAATTACATCATGTACAGTAGTTTATACGAGTATTGAGCTAACTCTTATTTCTTTTTCTTCCAAGGAGCCAGGCTCTTGGGATTTCCATTTTTGGAGGAATTTTGTTGTTGTTGTTTGTTTGTTTACCTACTCCAGCTGATGAACCAGTGCTATGTCTACACATAACAGACCACTTAGCAAAGAACCTATTTTAAATTGTATTTTTAGCCACTTTTTTGATAGCCTGTCAATTTGGTATCTCTCAGTATCTCAGTATGATGTGGAGTGTATCAGTATCAGTATTAGTATCTGAACGTTACATCCTTAGGAAACACATCAGAAAAAATCCAACAGAGACCTGACACGCGACCTGAGAGACGCCCCTGTCCCAGTCTGGGGAAGGATGGGTGTCAAAAAGCCATTCTTAAAGAAGGGACGCAGGAGGGAAAGGCTGAGGAAAGCCAAATCAAACAGGATCTGACCTGAACATCCGGTCTTATAAAGTGACGAGTGCACAGGTCAGAAAAGGGGTACAACAGTGAGTGTCTGCAGCCATCTGTAAGACACAGTGGAGGCTCTATCGTGGTTTGGGGTTGGAATTTAGATCTTTAAAAAGATCTAAAAGATCTTTAAAAACTTAAAAAAGATCTTTAAAAACTGATGGACGAATGAACGCAGAAAAGCACCATCAGAGTTTCATTCACCATGCAATACCATCTTGAAAATGTCTCATTGGGAATGGCCTAATTTTCCAGCTTGACAGTGAACAAACACACTCTTCTAATGCAGTAAAAATATATCAGGATGCAATAAAGGTGGTCATACCAAATATTGACTTTCAAGCTCATTAGAATTGCACCAACTCTTTTTCTCCTTATATACCTGTACTTCCACGTATGTTTTCACGTGCTTCTAGAAATCACTGCATCTATTTCCCATTTTGCTGGCAAAATATAAAAGAAGGAGGCATTGCTCAAGACTTTTGCAAAGTACTGTAATCTCTGAGTCACAATTGCAGCTTCACAGTGTTGTGCAGGTCACATGAATAGCTTATTAAATCCTACAACATTTAATAAATTTACCCACATAAATGCTTGTGCTGGCACACCCAGTCAGTTCAGGCACATTAATTTAAACAGCCATCCATTTTATTTTAACTGCTTATCCATCGCAGGGTCACAGGGAGTCTACTCCAGTATCCTACTAATGCAAAGACCATTTAAACTTTAGAACCGTCATCTAACTTGACATGCATGGAGCTTGTAGCACAAAGCTAGAGCTTAGCTAACTTGTGGAACTAATTAAGTAAGGTCCATGGTAAATATGTGCATGTAGGATACTGGGCATTCAAAGAACTTCATTCATTTAGACAGCATTTTATTCTCGACTATCCCACACTGGGTGCAATGTGGGGTCGATTCGGATTCAGTATGTTCCCCCATGTGGGCTGGAGGAGCAGAGGGTCAAACTACCGAACACGCGATTAGCGGACAATCTACCCTCCCTTCTGACACAGCCAGTTTCTTGGACTCTCGCATGTAGATAAGTGTTGGTTAATCAGTGAGATGAAGCTGAAATAAAAGAACTATCTCTACCACTACACTCCTACACCTTGTTGGCCACCCATCCCTCCATCCTCTTAACTGCTTATCTAATTCAGTGTCACGGGCAGGCCTGGTGAGTGGGTGTTATGTTACAAAGAAGTAAAGAATAAACTTCTAAATGCTCAAACATGTATGTTTCTACACTAGCATAACTAACAAAGAGCAAGTCTAGCAGATTTTATCTCAGAAAACGATCATTTATTCAACCCTGTTTATCCTGTTCAGTGAGCAGAGCTGTTGGATGACTGGCACTGGTAAAGCATAAGGGGAAAACCCTCCACAGTTTATGTCAAACTCCAGTCTGATCGTTTAAATCTCTGTCTGTGACGTTACCTCACAGGAAACCGAAAGGAAGAGAAAATAAGTCGACTGGGCAGACTATCGTTAGGACAACAGTTGAATTGTGTGCAGTTGCCGAAGCCTCGTTAGAGTGTGTAGCTGGATAGCAGCCTGTCTTTGACTGAAATACAGCTGAAAGGGTCACACCCAAACAGGAATGAAGTGCACTGCACTGGGAGATGATGTAATGTCTCTCAAAGAAAGCATATTACTTCCTCCATGCCCCTGTGTAGCAGGTGTCAGGCAGTCACAGGGGAGGAGGCGGAGAATTGCAAGCACCACACTGGATAATTTTGTAAGTATTGATTATACGTCAACCTTCTCTCTTGTTCAGTCTATTCATCACGCATCGTATGTGCAGGAACAAATGTGTCAGCTTTCTTTCCCTTCTTTCTCCTACATGCAAACAAATCCTTATCTCAGGGATTTAGCACATTATTAGTTGCCTTAAGGACATCTTGGATGCCGATCCCCTTCTTATACGCCATCTGTTGTGAACAGATAATTAAAGGAGGAGAATGGGAGGCTTTATTGTTGAAACTTTGCAACACTATGTGCAGGACTTCCACACTGTACTACTTCATGCAAAAAAAAAAAAAAACACCTTAAAAATGACCCAAAAGATTGAATGTGCTTTAGCAGGAGCTCACAGTCGGGTATGAGATGGAAAATTTACCCTGAATGCTGGTTAAATTTCACCCCAGAGGAAAAGTGTGTTGCTGCACATATGCAACAACATACATGTCTCTCCTCGTGCCTGCACAACATTCCTGTTGTCTTTATGCCATCCTGCAAGATCCAAATAAGTCGTGTTTCAACCACACGAGAGTAAAGCACATGGCGTCTCTCTCGGTTAAGGAAGCGTGTGCTGACATTTGGGAGCATATGGTAACTTCATTACACAAGATTTGGAGAAAGAACACCTCTCCTTAATATTTAACCTCCACTTGTTAAAATATTACTTTAAAAAAAGGGCAGGATGCACTCCATAACAGAAAAGCTGTTATTTATCATGAAGGCATGAGCCCTGCTGGGAAACAGTGTGATTGATAGGTGTACTATAAGGCCCAACAAGGTATCAAATTTCTGTCACTATGTCGACGTGCATGATGTGAATATCAGCTGGACTTTGTTGACCCGGTCACAAAGAGACAAAGACAAACCTGCTGTCAGGATGGGCGCACCTCGATCAGGTTACATGCCACTGAGAGTTTGTACTGCTCAGTGCAGGGCCAACAGCAGCAGCATCACATGTATCAATTCACCCAAGATATGACAGGTTGACTGGCCCCCTTAAAGCCTTTGCAAATGCATATTTGTGAAAAAAAAGGAAGTATGAAAAAAGGAAGGTTTGAGGGGATTAAACCCAACTACTTTAGTGACTTTCAGCCATTTATTCAACTGTTTAACACAGAATTCAGTCAAACAAATTTATAAAACAGGATTCCACTTATAAAGCCCTTTAGGTTGATTGGACATAACAGATAAAGGCTGCCGTCAGCAAATCTATTCTTACTTGCCAATAAACAGATGGCAGATAATGAATGAATACCTAGTCGATACAGACGTCCCAACCATAAACTGGAGCATCGAGTGTACTGCTGACAGTAGACTGCTGCCATTTGCTACATGATGCCCTTTTGCAGTGCATCTCCTCCACATTGTTTTGCTTGTTTTTCCAACTCTGAAAGATCATCACTGCTCCTTGGCTGGCACAGAGTGAAACAATTAGAGGAGAGAGCAGTAAAAATGAAAGCCGATGAAGCCATTAATGCTTGGCAGGATGCCTTTAAAGGCCTCCTCTCTGAAGTCCTCCTCTGAGGTACTGAATATAAACTTGGATGACTTTGACTGGTCCTCTCCTTGTTCACAGAGGAGAAACGTGTCTATCTGAAACTGCAAAAGTACTCCCACGCTTCTGAAGTCTAAAGTACAAACTGAAGATTATTAATAGATATGAGATGACGCTTGTTCTCTTGTACCCACAATGCCTGTAACACAGATTCTACTTCAAATACCTGAACTGATTTTTTTAATGGGTTATTTATGCGCTATTCATGACTTGGCCTATTTTGGGGTATCACAACTAAGTACTTTTTGTGGTATAGAGCAAAATGAGACTTTGAAGTATCACAGATATTTTTGTAAACAAATCTAGAATTATTTTTAGGGCAAAGTCTTTGCACAGATGCTCGTGTTTAGACAAAACTTAAGACATAAGGAGTTTGGCTTAAATTGTTAAATGAGAAAGAAACTGCTATTCAGGTAATCTACAGGCACACCTCCCAAAAAACATACATAGCATTTTTCACTTTGCAGGAGCAGAATCATATATATATATATATATATATATATACACACACATATATATATATGCAATTACATTAAAACCACAAAACCAAACACCTGGATGTTTGCACAGGTGGACAATGTGATTTTTATGGTGTCTTATGTCTGGAGGATGGAGGATGTGGCTCTGTGGCTAAAAGTAAAAAAAACCCAAAAGAAATTAATTAACCAGCAAAGTCTAAGGCAATACTCAAACATTTCCGGTTTGCTATGAAATGTGTGAAGATTATAAATCTAATACTTTTAAGTCACCGCCTGCTCCAAACTTCTCCCACGCTGATGACAGAAGGATTCCTAGCCTTTCTTTCCACATGCAGGTAAACATCACAGGTGTGCAACAGACTGTGAGCTTCTCTCAGACCACTGGGACACTCAGCCACCCACAAGCTAAAAAAAACAACCTTAAAACTTTTTCTGCATACGTTTTTAAAGTATTGCAGAGAAACTGCCTCCCACATGCATTGTTCTCCTCCGTGTTGTTGGGGATACACTCCAACATGTGTATGACTGCAGCCCCGTAGTGAATTTTTCTTGGCAGAGGAAGAAGAGAAATGGTCCCAGTTTGATAGATGTTTCCTCCTCTGGTGAGTTATCAGATCTTTGGGACCCTTTCATTGTGCTTTGTTGTTGCCTCTTATCCCAGTTCAGACATCTGGTTTGGGTGAACTGATTCAAAAATTCCATCAGAAATGTGTTTTCCACTGACTACAGCGTAAAAAGAAATGGTGATAACACTTTTTATCCTCAACAGCAACTGAATGGGTAACACATACAGGTTTTCCCAGGTGCCTCACCGAGTACAGCCGTATTTGCACACGTATTTAAGTGGTCTGGAGCAGCAAACAGCCACACAGTGAAAAAATGGAACTACTTGCAAAGTAACTAAAAGTTATCAAGACGTTCAAGGAGTGCAAGCGAATCGCAAATGGCAGACATTATTAAACACTATAAATCCCTCTGGAATAGTACCCTATTATGTAGGAGCCATTATCCATTCAAAAACAAGCTCGCCTCTATACATTCACTAGTCATGGGGTTGGCATACTGTTGAAATGACCTCTAGTAGAGATGCAGTGAAGGTTAAGCCAGGACCGGTGTGGCTAACTTTAGAATGAAACGTCTGGGTTATTATTACACATAAATAATAAGTAAGGTATTAATGCTTAGCATACAGCGAATTTAACTATAGCTGCACTTTATCGTGTTTTGCCCCCTGGAAGTTGAGTTTTCCTCCGCATGTTAGTTGATGATCAGTAGAAGTTATGCACCAACGGTGCGTCACAGCTTGGCCACTTAAAGGAAGGCTGTACATCTCTGAGTATTACTGCAAAGATGTCGCCATGCTTTGACTTACCACTTCAACCACCTTTAAAATCCCCAAGTATGACTTCAGGTACTCCATGTCGCACACTATCCCCCCAAAAACGTTCCGCGAATGGACGGGCTCGGTGGTGGGCTGGTAGGGACTGCTGGCCCCGGAGATCATGGAAGTGTTGGAGGCCTCGCCGTCAAAGCCCTCCGTCTCTTCGGTGGTCCTCATGATTTCTGGAGAAGCTGAACTCTTTTTTTAAGAGAGAGAGAGACAAATGGAAACCGACGCTGCCAGTCCTCCTGGATCTACCTCACTGCGCGGCTTATGTGACAGACAGCACACTTTGTTCCACGCAAGCTGGGAGCAGATGGGGGAAACAAACCGGACAGTCCACTTCTCGTAGCCACCCCGAGGTGAAACCGCAACGGTAGTTGCTCTTTAACATCGCGTGCAGGACTGGTATAGGATCAGTGCAGCCACCCCCTCCACCTCCAGGCGGTTCCTCCCGGTTCCAGTGTTGCGCCTCTCCAAAACAGCCGCACTTAGAACTATGTTAGGCGGGTCACTTGTTCGAGTCCTTGTGCCACTGACTTTACCACGGACGACTCCGGTTAGTTCGGCAGATCGGGGGAAAATGCCTGCCGTGCTGTGAGACCGAAAAACATTCACCCATTGTGGCCCAGAATAAGCGAGAGAGATCCGCGCTGTCTCCTGTTGTAAACTTAATTATGCAGCCTCCACAGCAGCAGCGCGCAGTACGGCTGCGTACGGACGCCGCTGTCCCTCGCTGTGGATGGAAAGCAGGCTTGTCTCCGCCCTCCTGAAAACTGCACATTCTTCAGAGTAGGCTCTGCGCCCGGTTTAAGTGCTCCCAAACAGCCTGCAAAACGAATCCAGCCGGAACCACGCCGACAGTACCGAGCTCTTCTCACACACTCACATTCGTCGGTGTGACCGTGCAGCATTTGAACACCAGCCAGGCCTGGTGACACGATTTCTATTTTCCCAAGGGGATTACAGTGTATGGCTGCTTGTCTTCATATGGAGTTTAAAACCCACTGAATATCACCATTATGATCCACATAGCTTTTTAGCGTTTTATATGTGAAAATGTCTAATACAAAATACAGACATATTTCAAATTACACGTTGCCAATTCTCTGCGTATAAAGCAGGTTGGTTTCACAGAGTTTTTAAAGAAGTCAACGCAGGTTAGAAATTGTACCATATATGTAAAGTTAGTCTAACTTCAACAAATGAAAGGGTAGGCCTAATTTTCTTTTAGGGGCATAAGCTGTGCTGTACAGCTCCCACCCCCGTACTTTACTGCTCTCTCGTGGCGCTAAGCAGCATTAAAGGTTGCCTAGGTAATTTCAGAAGTCCAAAGATGCTGGAAATAACCTTTAAAAAAAAAAACAAAAAAAACCCCCGACACTCTATGCATGTGACTGGTGACATTGAATTACAACTACAGTATAAATGTGTTGTAACCTTGAACATGGTGAGAAGTTATCACAATATGTTTTAAAGATAAATGAGGTACTTAAAAAAAAATGAGCGAAATAAAATCTGAAATATTGATTTATTTTTGTTCCCTTATTGTCGAGGATCAAGAAAGCAAATTTTCCAATGCCAAAAAAATAAATTAAAAAAATAGAAAATAATTACATTCTTATAATATAGGGTTAGGATTAGGGGTATGTAGACCTCACAGGTTGATGTGTGTGACTTAAAGTTGTAACCGTTGCTTTCTCATCACACACAACTCTAATCAAATGTTGTACAAACAGACACACTCACACAGAAGCCAACAGAAGTTTGGATTCTTGGTTTTATTGAAGCCAGGGGTCTGATAAACATTTTCCTTATCTTTGTCGGCATAATAAGCTAGAATCCGCATGGCAGCTTGAAGGCTACAGAATTTGTGTTACAGACATACAATCAAGCTTCAGAATTATCCCAGGGCACAAAAGTGCAGCCAGCCATGTGCTTACAATGTTTTGATATCCTGAATACAAAAGGACTGGAAGCAGAAGCTCATAGTCTCGTATAGATGTAGACTGTCGATAGTGGTCGAAGGCAATTCAGTTAGGATGAGAAGAGGACGTTGCTTTCCACTGAATTTGTGTACGAGAAGAAAACAAAAATCCATCTTGGGAGCAAAAAGTAATCCAAGTCCAACTTTCAAGCACAAGCAGCAAGAGAGCACTTCATTCCACTCAGCTAAATGCCAAACTTAACAAGTGTGGCCATATTGTTGACAAATTACAGTTCAAACTTCTTTTAAACATAAGTGTGATATGACAAATCTCTGTATTCTGAAACAAAATGACAAATCATGACCAAAAATGCCAAATGTGCAAACAAATGGGGGTTTATCTGCTGTAGTTTATCTACAGTGAAAGCTGTACTGGCAGCAATTGTTAGAGGATTTGTATTAGTTACAATATTGCCAGCAGAAATGTGTTATTCCATAGTTAACCACAAGGGGCCCATTTAACAACATCAGCAGCAAAATGGCATTTTCTCTGTGCATGTTAACATCTTGTTTCCTTCTTAAACGAGGCAAGGCAAAAAGAAAAAGATGCACTCTGCATCTGCAGCTGTAGCAACAGTGTCCAAAGAAAAGTGCTTATTCCAAAATGCGGCCGTGCTGCTCCTGGCTGTCCCGAAATTGTGCTTCATCCACGTCGGCAACGGGCCCTCGAGTGTACGGTTCCCCCCAACCAGTCACAAAAACAAAGCAAAGTAAAAACAATAAGAGCTTCATTTTGTTCAAAGTAAACCCAGAACTGCTGTGTTGAATCACTGTGACAATGCACGAAGCAGACGGTACACTGCTATTCCCTTACAGAGCGAATGTTTGAACAAAAAACCTGCTGACAGTGTGTTCAAAGACCGGTTTCAACATCCAAAACACAATTATGGTACGCCCCCCTTCTGTCTGCTGAAACTCCAGACACGGCTTAATACAGAAAGACATTTCTACCATTTTACAGGGTGTTACTTTAAAAAAAAAAAAGTTATAGGCCAGTCTGAGGTTTGGAATGCAAGGGCTCTATGCAAGAGTTGGACAAAAGAAACAAACAAAAAAAGGCCGCTGGTTAATCTTATGGATGACTACAAATGCAGATAATATGCATCTTTGGTTCTGTTCCAATTCACTCCAGTTTTCATTTTTCTTTTTTGGCTATTTGTAGCAAATAGCTGCTCTCCTATCACTTGCCATTCATTCTGCAAAAGTTACTGAAATACACCATCCATGGGATTAAGTAGGGCCTTGTATAAAGATTTAAGAATGAAAATGTACATTTCATTTTGATTATGGTATCATGAAACCATAAATATTATACAGACAATTTGATATGGTACAGTATAATTTTTGATAAAATAAAAAAAAAATAAAAAAAAAAAAGCATAGAAATGACACAAGACATTTAAGCAACCCTTTAAGGACACACAAATTAATTAGGAGCTTTCCCGTGAAGGCAGGGTGCCTGTTGTGATAAACTGTTAGCTGTACATTGAAGGCAAAGGTTGTCATCTTAAATGGGCACTAAAAAGGGCCGGAAAAAACAAAAGACCTGATCTCAAAAACAAAAAAAAACAACCAAAACAACAACAGGTTTTCTACAGGGATGAGCTTCTACAGCTACTTCACGTAGAAACTGGGAATGTTTAAACTGACATGCAAAACACAGCGAGAGCAAAACATGTGAGACCAGAGGACGACAGTGGTGTCTAACACTGAATGTTAGAAAATCTCATTTTGTTCAAACCACAGCAGATAATTTTGTGTGTGCCTGTGTGCTTTGGCTGCAAATGAGTGGTTTCAACCACAGAAAGTCTGGGGGACCCAAAGGTTCCATCGTGTGGTTCCTTCTCAGTATCGGCAGCCTTAGTTTTTATGAAGGCATTCAATCTATAAACATTATGAACTAGGCCACAGAAATCATATTTCTGAAGAATAGAAGCGACCACAGGCTTGTTGTACATTTAAAAAAAAAAAAAAGTAAAACAAAATAAATTATTTGGATGACGAGAAATTGATAAAAACCTTTGAACCGATGGTGCTACAAGTGCGTTTCCTCCTGCGCAGACAAGCACCTCTACTATGACACAAACAGCTAACTGTGCGAGGCACTTAGGAGTTATAGTAGGAAAGATGCTGCCCCATCCCCTCCCCCAAATATACACACCTGTAGCTAAAGAAGCAATTCTGCTGCGACCTCTAACTTCTTGTCAAATCCCAACCATTTTATTCAAAGAAGCTATCTTAAGAATTTGGACAAAAAAGCGCTTTATACAAAATCAAGTTAACCTGAATAATTTTTTTTTGTATTCATATTTACAGAATCCTTCGAGATGACTAGGGCGACTGATATGCTATCCGCTAACTGAACATGTCATATTAGTGTCATGGTGTCAGTGGCATTTTTACATGTTACGATGAGCCTTTTCTTTAAACCGATAAATGGTGCACAACATGAAATAAAAAGGAGGAGGTTTGTATAAATACATCAGTATCATATCCAACATTTTTTTGTAAATATTACATATGCTTGCAAGTATTTGAATTTATTAATGAATATATTTAAATACTTTTCCAAATGCAACCAAATTCCTTCAGTATGACAAGCGAAACCAGAGGAACCAGTATATTGCCACTCTTAAACCTATGAGTAGAGTGTATGAGCCCAGAATCTGGGGGGCCTTCAGCCCAGCAGGTCAGGCTGACTGCCAGGGAGTGTGCACACATTTCCCTAAACTTACAAAATAACATTTACAGTGGAAGAGAGGATAGAAAAAGCCAAGCCTTAAGCACTTATTTCATTAACACCTCCATTTACGTTCTCTTTCTCTTCTCATCTCCACTCCCTCTCCAACCTTCTGATAGCCTTTGAATCTCATTCAGTGAAACCACTGTGTGCTGACTGATACAGGCGTTAGGAATTTGGTCAATTTTTTTTGTTTTGTTTTTTTATGCTCACATGTACATATATTTTTCCAGAGTATTAAGTGGACGATGCAGCTGTTTTTGTTGCCTTCACGCTTCGTTCTCTGTCTGCGGTGGTATGTTGTTAGCTGAAACCATGGAGTCTTGCTTGCGAGTCATCCGGTCCAACTCAGCCTGGACATCAGTCAAACCCGGCTTCTGCCCTTGGAAAAAAAGACAGGAGACAAAGCCCAAAAGTAATCTCCTGTAGCTTCTGCGCCTGCTCATAAAAACAGCTTTCTATGGCAAGCAAATGGATGGATGGATGGGGTTTGAATGGTGATGCGTTCCCATGCTGGAGGTTGGTGGCTTGCTGCCACAGTTAACACGCACACATGCAAAACTAATCATCAGACAAAAGGAACATGCATTATCCTGTTGCAGAGATGTTAACACTGCTCAGCGCTGGAACAAAGAGTACATGTTAGTGTTCTCAGGCAGAGATGAGTTATGCAATCATTTCTCTCATGTTTCACGGGGTACAATCAAGCTATCGCACAGCCAATATTTGACTTTGTTACATTTAATATAACAAAGAAAAAAATGTTACTTAAGTTTAAAAAAAGATGAATTAATAGAGCTCAAAAGCAGCAGGACAAGGTAAGGTGTGAGTGAGATGCAGTTATGATGGGTGGGATGATAAATACAGGCCTGCCACAAGTTTCCTCAGCTGTCAGAAGTTCAGTCTAAGAGGACAACTTTTTTCTCCTGCTTTAACCTTCTCACTCAGGCTGTAGAGATAAATCTCCAGACAGCAAAATGGTCCACAGTCTCTAACAAGTGTTTGCAATGATAGGATGTGCGTGCACTCTGTGTGTTACAGAGTGCACGCACTCTGTAACACACAGCATCCTATAATCCTTACTGCTTTGGTAAGAGATCAACTGCTAACCTATGAGAGAGAACGGGTTAAATAATCGGCAACTTCTGTTTTTCACTGAGATCAGAGGTGAAAGCACTGGAATTAGAGGTTGTACCTGTTTTCTTGGCAGAGCCTTGCACTCCAGCTCCCACTGCTCCAGCTCCTGGGCTCCCAGGGGCTCCAGTCTTTTTACTCAACAGACTGTTGAAGAAGTTAGCCAGCACTCCCTCATTGGCAGCTCCCGCTGTAGGAGAAATGAGAGAGGGGGTGGTGGTGGTGGGGGTGGTAAGGGAACTTGTTTATAAATATACACATATAATCCACTTTGTTTTCCCCCCCCAAAATAAGTCTTTCTTGTGTAATTGAAGACAAAAGCTTCTCACTGCCCATCACTGAGGGGTGTTTGGCATCAATATGGGAACTATTTATCTTTCTTTTCAAACAAAATATTCTACAATATTTTATTTTGAAAGAGTTATGTTCCTACAAACCAAGAAAAAAAAACTATTAAATATAGTTAATAGACTGATATAAAAAAATTAGAATACACTAAACCCTGACTGTATATATAATAATGGGAAATGTGTGACCTGCACAGTTCCACTATTGTGGGAATTCTTGTAGTGTTACCTCTAGAGGGCAGTACTTCACAACTTGCTCAATGTTCATACAGCAAAAGCATAAGTAAAAATCTGTTCTTTTTCTTTGATTTCAAATAATATGGATGACAAAAGAGAATCTTCAACACCCTTTCTATCTCAAAAGTGAGTCCACATAACAAAACATTAGAAATTAGGGTGTACTGAAATGTAAAGTGTGATTCTCATTAATTGGCATTTGAAATTGTATTCCTTTCAAACATACGTTTCATGTTAGGGTCAGGCTTCTTGACAGAGGCCATTGGTGAGCCACTGGTTACGGCTGTCGGTCCGGCACGGCCTGCGGGCCGTGGAGACCCTGAGGCTGTCCGTCCTGGAGACTCCTAAAACACAGGAACCAGAATAAGGCTATGTTCACACTGCAGGCGAAAGCACATCAAATCCGATTTTTTTGACCCTATGCGACCCATATCCAATCATGCTATGACAGTGTGAACGGCGCAAATCCGATATTTTCAAATCCGATCTGGGTCACTTTCGTATGTGGTACTGAATCCGATACATATCCGATGTTTTAGAAAGCGACTGCTGTTTGAACGGTCATGTCGCATTAAATCCGTCTTTTACGTCACCGACACAAGACAGACGCTAATTATTAGCGCCGGAGAAGACATCGTGAACGCTTCCTGGCCATCCCGTGTATTTGTCAGTGAAACTGTTGGGAAGACAACGTTGGAGAAACGTGAACATTTTATTTATACTGTATAATCTGCAACTATCCTTTGAAGCACTGCTCCTCTAAAACAGCAATAAGGATAATTATTAGGTTATTTACATTATTATGTAAATAACAAAATAACTTAAAGCAAAAATTGGGAAACGTAAAGTCCGAAGTCTTTATATTAACGGCCATCTGTCAAACAATATTGTTTGCTCTTGGTCTAAACAGAGCGCGTTGTGTGTGAAGTCTTCTTTTGCGCATGCGGGCCGCTTTGAGCGTTCACACTAGAGCGCGTTTGCTGTCGCATTTTATTTGTAGTGTGAACGAGCAGACAAAAAAATTGGATTTGATCAAAAAATCGGAATTGAGCATTAAGACCTGCAGTGTGAACGTAGCCTAAAAGTGTGGCCACAAACAAAAGCAGCTCACGTTTTTCTATCCAGAGAAAAAAAAAATACAAATTAAATTTCACATTTGAGGAACCTTAAGACACTTACTGTTGCTCCTCTTGTTGGTGTGGCTGGCTGCTTTGCTAATAAAGACTAAAAAAGAAAAGCTTGAGTTAGATGCAATTACTGTTATATTACTAGTAAAACAACAGGTTTTCCCTATCCTTTATTTTCAGGTAACATATTTTGATACAACTTCTTTCATTCTGAAAATATCAAAGACAAATGTATGCAAGAAAACTGTGACAAATAAATAAATAAAGGGGGCATTTAGTGCAGTAGAAGGAACTTAAAGCACTGGGCAATACTAAACTGCAACTTCAGTTACGTTTTTTTAAAATTGTCTTCCTGGTTTATTTTTTTTTCACAAAATAGGAAGTGAGGGTAATGTTTCATATCATGTGACAGTTTCAGATCAGCACGGCTGCAGTATAAAACACTCTTTAACAGTTAAAGCAGCAGATCACCACAAATACGTTAGAAAGGACGGATCCTTTTTTTTTTTTTACCAGTGAAAGATATTTGACCTGATTTTGAGATCCTGCTTAGATCAAAATCAGAAACTAAAAAACAACAAACAAACGCATATCAAGCTCACTGGCTGGTGACAGAAATCATGATAAATGGGGAGAAGGCCACATCTACCTGCTGCTTCATCAAGAAAACCTGCTCATCCTCTGCATTTATCTCTTTGTCATGAACCAGCTGTTAAGAAGAGCAAAGGAAACAAGAATGCCATTAAAAAGGAGAAGAACAGAGCAAAAAGCTCTGGAATACTACTGCATTTTTGTAACTTTTACATTTGGTCAATATTTGCATTTTTATACCTTTCGTACTGGAGGCTTTGTGATAAAATCTTCAAATGGATCTTCTGGTCTGACTGTTGTGAAGTTTTCGTGCAAAATACCAATTTTCTTCTCGTTATCCCATCCGGATGGACTAAAGAGAAGGAAAAGATTTTTAAATTGTTGTTCAAAAAGATCTGAAGACAGATGCCAGAACAAACTGTTTGCCAACAATATGACAAACAAGTTTTAATATTTGGGACAAGGTTGGCTAGTTTTACTTACATGAACACTGCATCCTTCTCCACCACTAAGGCAGGTGTGACGAACTGAAAGTCATACAGTTTATGTACTATATATTTGTAAAGCAGATCCAGGTTCTTCTCCTCTTTGACTGAGGTATAGATCAGACCTGCTCCATCTGTTCAGTTAAGTTAAGGCAGCAGTTGTTGGGTTAGTGTCATATATGGTAAATTGATATTAAGCCACATACAGAAATTCAAGGTATGGCAGAGTTCAAGAGTAAAAAAATTTTTTAATTAAATTAAAAAAAGACATGCATTAAAAACAAGGATACAATGTAAGCAAAATCGCCTGATGTGGGACTGGATGAAGTCAAAGTGCTCGTCTCTGTAGTCGTGCTCCTTCTCTAGTACGCTGACTGCATCACACTTAAGAATTGAAGCAAAAATTATTGATATAAGGAAAGAAATAGAAGATTTTAGTGGCAGACAATTAAAACTAAATAACACACTGGTTTTTAAAGTTAGTCAACCATTTGGCCAGCCGTCTAATCTGCGATAACAGATATCTGAGGGACAGATAACTGAGCAGAGTAGAGTGGTACACTCCTGTGAATGTAGGCGAACTTCTTGTTTCATAACCTTTACTCTGAGAGTTGGAGATGTTGTGGGTTGGAGAAGAAAAGACATTTTGAATCTTTTGAAATATCTTTGCGATATCGAACAGACATTTTATCCAGATTTAGTCGTTTTTTCTCTGACAATAGCTATTCAGAGGCCCCAATGATAAAAAAAAAAAATTCAATTAATATATAAAAAAAGGCACATTCCCCATGTTCCAGCCACAGCTAGCATGTGAAGCTCTGCTGATACCTTGTGCTTTTCAGCACCCGTCTTTGCCTAGAGGATTAACAGGCAAGTATAATGGTAACTTTTTATTAGTAAATACTGCCTCACAAAGCACAGCATAAAAGTAAGAACAGATAAATGCATCAGTGGGGATGGTCTCCACATGGGATTTTAGGCCAAATATGCTCACTAGTGTGGGAATTCAATCACATAGAACAGCTGGAAGAACATATCAGGGTGTTAAAGAAGGTTTCCTTTGCCTGTTTATGGCAGACGACTCAGTCTCAAATAGAAGGAGCTATTGATCTCCTGGCTGTTATACAAAAAGCCAGTTTAGAAAATCTATAGATCACGAACACAGGTGGCTACAAACAAAAATCATGGCAGCAGCCAAGGACAGGATGCTTCTGGCATTATCTAGAGATTGTCCAAAATAGCTTAACCTAAAACACGTATCCTTAGACTTTTCTGAGGACACAGTTAAATTATCAGCATGTTAAGAAGCTCCTGAGTGAAATGCATCCATGCCCTCAACAGAAATCAAAGCCTCGCTGGGGAAATAGATTGTACGGTAAGTTTAACTCCCAAAACTGAAACTGTAGAGGTACAGACACGCAACAAGTAGCTTTTTAGATGACCAGCAGCTGTTCCTTCTTGTGTAGTAAAAGAAACAACAATGTTGTAATACATTACCAAGATTAATTATCATTAAGATTCCAAGTTTTGGCTCTGTTACATCTCAGAAACAAGTACTTCTAAAAAGCTTTTTATAGCAACATTTGTAAACGGTTTCAAATGTGACATTCTGGTAGGTTTAAGAGGTTTTTACCTTTGTGCAAACTATTAGCACTGGAATGCCCAGGTTGTGCGTGAGTGTGTTTTCCCCTAGTGGTAACACGACGTCCTCATCCTCTCCTGCTGTTGGGGCTCGTCTCTGTGGGGAGGATGGGGTGGCATCCTCTGGTTCTGTGTACTCTTGGAAGGCTTTTATCACTAGAAGACAAAATAAAGGGGGAAAAAGGGTAAATTCAGTGTATTAGTGAACGCAAAGCTCCAGATCTATAGAAATAAAGAAAATGAGTTCAGTATTCAGTGTCTCGACCCACTGTTTTTATTTTTTTTTCCTTTTCATTCTCCTCGCCTGGCATCTAGCACTTCAGCACTGACAAAAAAAGCCCTAAAATATAAACAACACTAAGGTGACAAATGTGGTCTGACCTCAGGGACTCTGTAGCACTGACAGCATTTTATAGGTGCACATTATCTTTGCTTGTAACTTTGGAAAGAGCAATGAGCCACTTGCAGCTTCTTCAGCACTATAAACTTTGTTTTATAGCACAGTTTTAATTGTTGTGCAAGGCCTCAAACTGTGTTCCTCAGATTAGATCATAGAGTCAACACAAATAAAGCTTCTTAGTGGTATATCAGGATAAGACTATGTCTGCCCAGTGACAGTCTAAATTTAAATGTTCACACAAGTAGTCACTACCGTGTATACATTGTGTAGCATCACAGAAAGAAAATTACAATGTTACATTTCCAGTTAAATAACATGCCTTGTTCAAAGACAGAAAAAGACATCCTTTATTTTCCTGTTGTGCTGATCCCAGCTGTCCAGACATTTACAAAGCTGCAGTGTGAAGAGTGGGGTGGGGGTTTACGCAGGAAGCCATGGCCTATTTCCTCAAAAGCTAAAGCCAGATTGACTTGGTGTTTAGAGTCAAGCCCTTTACTTTCTGGCAAAGAATTTTATACAGGGGATGAGAACTGGTCTGAAAAGCTACGAGAACCCTTCTTAAGATGCACAACTGCACAAATACAGTACGTATGCACAAAAAGTTCATAGGCCAAATGGGACTACCAAAGGATCCAAACATTCCAAAATGTAGTAAATTTATTGAAAAAGACCTGATCACACACTGGTCAAAGCAATGATGAATGCTGTTCACATTATGCTTGGCCTATACTAGAAGACTTTGAAAAGATAGATTCAAGCCTCAAACCCCTAATGCTTTCATATATAAAGACAATGTTTTTTTTTAAGTCTGAGTTTTAAAGGCATAGATAAGATAAGACAAAATAAAAGACAGCAATACTAAACATTTTGATTTTATCAGAACACAGGAAAGACAAAAAAGGACTGAATTAAGGCAGTTTCAAGTTTATGACAACCATGCATGCAACACCCGAGACACACACACACACACACACTTAAAAGTTATTTGGTACAACTGATTAAGGCTGAGAATATTATAAGTAAATGGAAAGTAAAAATATATTACTTTGGGCAGCATGTACAGAAACATGAAATTTTGCAATGATTTCAAAACAGCAACATTTAATGCTGAAAGGAGAGGTGATTGGTGGACTGTCACTTTAAAATAAAAACATTAAAGAGACAGACTTTGCCCTACTAAGACCTACTTATCTGTTCCACAAACAAGGGTGAGGTCAAAATGCATCAGCGGTCTTCATTAAGGACTTTTCAAATACTTTGTGTGTACTACATTTTAAGTACTGCAAAAGCACCAGTCAGTATATATTCTTTCTAAATTCAAAGGTATACACTTGATGTCAGTAAACTTCAGCTAAAAATAAAGTAGTCTTATGGCCAGACTAATTTCACCTAATAACATTTGGTCTTGGATGCTATTGTTAAGTCAAACTAAACTTCTACAATGCTCTTCAACTGTTTATTAGATACAAAAACTGCCTCAAAAAATAATTACTGCAACTGCAGATAAACAAGCCTATTACTAACAGAAGTCATGGACACAAATAGTTTTCCATTCAACGAGCGGTAGAGAAGCAGTAGGTTTATCCTGTTACTTGGTTTGAGATGATTCCAGCAGCCAGCCTACTTTATTTACAGCAGAACAGAGCACGAGTCAGAACGTCCAGCCCACTGAATTTTGAGTTACGTCCCTTCCTGTCCCTGACGCTGCTGTAAGAGGGGAGGAAACCATGATGCAAGATGACTGCAAGACTCCCTGGACAAAAGCCACTCACACACTTCCAGTCTGTCGGTCTGACTCTCAGTCAAACACTCATGGTCACACGTTTAAAATCTGACTAGTCCTCACCATCTGCTATTTACATTATCGTTTACATGCCAGAAGATCCTTTATTTCGGTGAGAGGCCTTGGCTAAATTGGACAGGGATCATCAAAAATGAAATGTTAAGAGAAGTCTGACAAACAGAAGTCAGTCACCCAAAACGGACCAAATAACACCACCAACAACAACAACAGTAGTCACAAAACAGCAATCCACAGAGGGTATGAGGTCTACATTCCAGGTAGGAAAGCTTTCTGCTACATTATATCAGCCAATTGTAATTTTATTCCAATACAACTACTCAGAGCGAAAGCAAACTTAACATGTGGGCTAACTGAAAGTCATTAAACCAATTATTAGTGGACAAAATGACAGAAAGCAATTCAGTGCGCTTTAGTCATCAGTTATTGAGCAGCTTCTCTTTTCTTTTTCACACGTTTTTCAGCAGACAAGGCTACTTGTGTTGGCATGTTACACAGTGACAATCTCTCTGAACCTGTGCTGTCAAACTCATCTAGCATATAACCAGTTTTACTTCTCTGTCCAATCTCTTTTGGCACTTTTAAGAGCAAAAGCAGCAGGCAATGTTTGGGAGCTGACAAGAACATTGAGCAAACCCTGGAGGCTGAAATAAACTTATCTGAATACCAACAATCTTTCCACATACAAAAGAAGCGTTCATAAGCATGAGATGCCCCAATTCTAAAATTAACAGGAGAACAACATCTGAGTGCATCACAGTCATTGATCTGCAGAACTTGCCTCCAGCAAGAGCACACAGCTGAGGATCATGGGCCTCTCTGATGATGACCTGGAATCCACCTCAGCAAAGTGTAATAACATACAGTCCTTGCCTTCGATGCTATACAGCAACCAATCAGCAAGGAGTCCAGCAGTTATTATGTAACACTCCCATTGCATCCACCATGGGATGCTTTAGGCACATTTGTTTTTTTCCTTTACGTTTTCGCCTTAAAGAGTCAGTTCAAGTCAGATTTTTGCATTTTGATATATGAAGGAAAATGACCAGATTATAACAAATCGCCATTTCAATAGGAGGATCTGCTTCAACAAAACAGAGATCTATTTGGAGATATGCTAGTTATTGATATTTTAACAATCTGAATGTGTCTTTTGAAATGCTCAACCATGACCGATGCCAGCTACTTGACCAAAATGTACACATTTCTAACGCTGAGGTTTCAGGGGATGTTAGTTTTTCACTCTATAAGCTACGTGCATGAATGCAGGTATGAATGTAAAGCTAGATCAACAAGAGTGTGTGTGTGTGGGGTGAGGTGGGGTGGGGTGTTCTAAATACAAGCCTTGCATTTATTATTGCTGTATATGCATTTATTATTGGTGTATATGTAACTTACTCTTCTGCTCCATTTCTCTCATGTTCTCAGGAGGAATCTTGAGCTTGTCCACATGGTCGCGCAGGACACTGGCCCACTTCTGCAGCGACTCCATAATGGTCCAAGGTCGTGACATATCCACAACAAACACAGCTAGACAGTCAGGTAGCGACTGAGCAGTAACAGCAAACTTAAGAAGGCCTTTGTGGTATAGGTCCCCATCCAGGATCCACACATTACAGCGTGTAAGGTCTGCAAGAAGAAAGTAAAATGCTAGTTAAACACAAGCACTAATAATAATCAGTTTTAAGGTAGAATTATTTTATAAAGGTTCCTGCAGATTAATGACAGAGACCACATTCAAGGTTCATCAGTGAATCTCACCATCCCTGTCCTCATCGTGGACACTTAAGTACAGATACTCCAGTCCCCTCCCCTTCTTGTTGTGCTCAGCTCCTTGAAGTTTGGCCATGAGTGTCGTCTTTCCTGAACCATCCTCACCTGCAAAATATTTTATTCATAATACAGATAAATAGATTATATTCGTGTTATTTTTAAACAACAAATTATATGACATAAAAAAAATGCACTAATGCATTTCCGTTTCTTTCAAGAAGGATATCTAGACTTTCCACAATGTACACTCTCTCACACAAACCTGCCTGATGAGAAGCAGCATTTCTCACATTTTCAGAGGGCCTGTTCGAATAAATATGACCCCACCCAAGAAGAATACCCTATATTCTTCTGTTTATTATGTCTGTCTTTAGTTCAAACCTCAGCCCGGGTTGGGGGTTAAGCACCTCAAAGTGCAATTCAGAAACGTGCAATCATTAGATTTTGCAGCTGCTTTGCCCTCTTCTACCTCTCAGGGTTGACCAGCACAAATAAACTGCAGAAACTTCAATTTTCACACATGTAACCAATACTCACCAAATATCAGGATATTTTTTCCTGAAGGCAATTTTGAACTCGATCTAGTTGAAACTTCACTCAGTATTGAGGACCTACAGATAAGAAAAAGACAGGTAGATTTTAGTATACAAGTCACACTGACTGTGATCAGACTGACAGCAGCTCCTCATCTCAGAGCAGTCAAACGTGGTGTCAAAACTGTTAACCGGTAACTAGTTGGACACACCTTAACTTCATTGATTACGATCACTTTTTGACTCTTTGAGCCGGTCCAGTGATGACTCCAAGACAGCACAGAAACAGGAAATGATAATTCGTTTCCATTGACCGGTACGACAGAATTAAGTAGCTCAATCCTGAATCCATGAATTTACCGACGAGCAACTGTTATCTAAAGACGCTATCATGTGGGTTTTTTTTGCATTTCTCTTTAAGTTAACGGGTTTCTAACGTTTACGTTACTATTAGCTTACTGTATCCTGCATCAAGACGCTAACTAGTATTTAGCTCTTATCTTGACATAAACTATCAAGGTACTAGTTATTTGAATGGCGCCCTGGAAAGTGTCTAGCGTTCACTGTATTAGTAAAACGCCTCTCCTAGGTAACTACAAGGCAGTGTTAGCTTAACATCAGGAGGAGCAGCAGCAAACCCGCTAGCTGATGTTAGCTGATCTGCTAACAGACTGACCGCTCAGCTTCAGTTAGTGCTAACGTTGGTGCTAGCCGGGCCGGTGTTTGATAGGGAAAAACCGGCAGTGACAAAGCAGAACCATGGCGGCTGTGCTGTTCTAAGAAGGCCCTGCGGAAGCATGAAGTCGTTAAAAGAGTAGCAGGACTTGCCAAAGAGTTTGCCCTTCTTCCTCTTCGTTGTTGTTGTCTCCTGTCCCAGCTGCGCCCGGGAGCTGTTTCTCCAAAACGGGAGCCATCTTCTCTTTCTACAACCACAAAGGCAAGGCCCTGCTGCTTGGCCACCAGTAGCACCGCCTTCATCCGAGTGGCCAAGGGTGTGTTACATTCTTCGTCTGCCGCGGCCCGCCGGAACCCCGTGTTTCTCCTCTGCTATTTCACTTATTGTAATGTGCTTTTATTAATTTATTTAATATTTATTATTGATAAGGGCCGCCTTTATTGAATAAACTAAAACTTTTATTGATATATATGAGTGTAAAAAAGTTTGCACAGATCAGACTGTTTTTATGGCACTTACATGGGGTCAAAATATCTAGTTGTCCTTCTGGCCACGTTCCAGTAAGTGATGTAATGGCAGTTTTTTCTTTCTTTAAACAGCTGATGGAGAACATTGTGATATCAATAATTGACTCGGGGCAAACATTTTACTGGTTTCTGTCATTTACACTTACTATTCGGTGTTAATTTAACCTATAATTCCTCATTTTTAGCAACAAATGCATTATGAGTGTATATTTTAAAAATATAAGTATTACTGATTTTACCGAAGTTTTAAAGTGAAAAGTGAAAATACAAGTTATACTATTTGACTGATCAGGGTTTTATTATCATTATTATTATTATTATTATTATTGTAAATACGTTTGTGTCCAACAATAGTGGTATTTAGCAGGTCTCCAGTAGATGATGCTATTGCTCAGAAATCCGTCTTCACCACAAGGTTATTACGGTTAACCAAAATGTAAAAATAAAACTAGATGTAGAAAACGGGCATTCCAGTTAACTAAAATAAAATAAACGCTAGAATTTCAGAAAAAGTAATAGATAAAATGAACTGAAACGGTTTTGCGATGTGATAAATTAACAAAATGAAATAACAACGTATAGTAATAGGATTTGTTAAATTAGAAAATAGTAAAATTTGTTATAAAAAAAGAGGCTTTGATGGACATGTTTACTGAGTTTTTAAAGGTCTCCAAGGCTCTAAGTTAACTGCTTTCAAAAATATTTTTGATTCAAACACCGATACTGATTTTCCAGTATCAGTATAGGTATTACAATAACACTGAAACTAATAAAAACTAAACTAAAACTAAACATTTTCAAACAGTTAAGCTACATTGAAAAATGGAAACTCACTATGGGAACTAACTTAATCTAAAATGAATTGAAACAACAAACAAAAACTAAATGAAATCTCTGTCTTCACTAACGCTTTGTTTGATTTATATGGTTACAATTGGGTCTAAAGGCCACAGCCACAGCACAAGGAGTGATCCAACAAAGGCTTAGATTGGGAAGGTTTTGTTGATCATTATTTATCCATCTGACATCCCAAAACTTAAATCAGTGGGTAGGAGAAGATGCTGTGTACTGTAAATGTGTACTCTCTTCCAAACTCCTGCAACTCTGAGGGACATCTTTACAAAAACCAGCCTGTCCCGAGGCTGCTACACCTGTACGTACAATCAGGTCTTGCAACAACTGGTGATCATCCTAGAAGGAAAGTGAACAACCACAAGTGTCTTCGCTCCCCCATTCCCTGGACCATCAAGCATCTGGTCATGGTCGTCTTCTCAGAAGATATTATAGTTCCTGTAAGTTAAAGTTGGAGAGGCAGATAAACTATGCTGAAACAATTAGCTTACCAAGGCATCCTTGTGGAGGTTGGGTGACATCACCCTTCAAGAGGTGTTGTTGGAAATAAATCAACAAAACACTCAGGATTGGAGGGTACCTACCTGACAACCCCAATGAAGTTGTTACCACTCTTCCACTAAAAATACCAGGCAATAAACAGAGCTGATGTTGTGGTCTGTAAAGACTATTAATGACCGTGGTGTTAAAAATCTTGAAATGTTGAAAGGCCTAAAGGGCTGCTCGGGCTTCCCTTTCAGTTGTATTATACTCACACCAAGCAGGAGGAAACTGGGTGACCATTGCCGAAGGAATCTTCCTGTAACAAAACAGCAGCAACTCCAACTCCACTAGAGTCAACAGACAGCTTGAATGGTGTGCCAAAGTCTGGAGCGGACAGAACGGGGGTGCTACAGAGGAGAGCTTTATGGTTTGACATGCCTCAAGCCACACTACAAGATACTGGTTTGGGTAGGCAAAGGCAAAGGCTGAACACAAAGAAGGACATGACACAGGTTTAGATCCTGATTAATACCATTTATTAATAAAATGTTGAACAACAAGGCTTTCTTTGTGAAAGACTAGAGAAAGGGAGTTTAGGAAGAAGCCACATAAATCAGCTCAGCCCGCATACTTCACAGGTCACTTGTTATCAAGGGAGATAACTGGATCTATGCCTTTAAGATCTATTATCTTTAAGGCATAGAGCTCACATGCACATATGATTTAGAAAATAAAAATGCCAGAGTAACACATAACAGTATTTATCTAGAGTTTTTATTTATCTAGTTCTTACATATGAGCAATTCAGGATTGCCAAATAAGAATGTTTCAGTATCAGAATAGATGATTGTTCATAAAGCGCAGTAGTAGCCTGTTTGAATTTGTCATATGAGGAATAAAGCACCCCTTTGTATTAATCTGAATGGCTGAGGCATAACACTAAAACTCACTTACTCATAACTGACCCCATTTGTTGTCACGATCAAGGGTCTGTGACCCAGCGTTTTCAGTTTACGTTTTGAGTTCTTAAGTTATTCCTTTATTATGTTGAGTAATTGGATTATCTTTTGGTTGCCTTTAGTTTATGTATGTTTCACTTAGGTCTTCTGTGTTAGTCTGTCATGTTTCTTGTCTTCTTGGCCATGTTGTGAAGTTGTATTGTCATGTCTGCTTTCCATTCTGTTTCCTGTTTTATTTTGACGGTCTCTGTCCTATGTCAATGTAGTCAGCTTTGCTTCATTTGTCTCATTATGTTTCATGTCCAGGTTTTTCATGTTGTTTCTTTACTTCACCCACTTTAGGTTAATGTCAGTTTTGCTTCAGTTTGCTTTGCCCTTTGTTTGTACCCTTTTTACCAGCCTCATTAAACGGCTCGCTTTTTGTTAATACCCAAGTTTTGGTTACACGTTCCTTTTGTGTCTGCATTTTGGATCCTCTTTACAAATTCCTATAGTGTGCCGCCGCATACTGTGACATTTGTATTACTATATCACTCAAACTATACCCTTTACTTACAGGGAGAGAATTACCTGTGATAACGTTTAACCAGTAACAACACTGATGACATTTTCACTTGGCAGAGCACAACAACACACCTTTGAAAAAAAAAAAGCACAGTGTGAACATGTACAGCACAGGCGTCACCTAACTTTGGTAAAATAATCTAGTTCCTTATTGGTGAAACACTATAGGGTGTCATAATGTCTGTGTGCCACACCCTCTGCTCGATAGCTCTCATTACAAGGTGAACTTTCTCTCAGGTATGTTTGGAGAGTTTCAGGTTTTGAGAGTTGAACTGCTCAACATACAAGGACACCTGACTATTCTGAAATGAACAAATATGTTTTTGTTTGTTTTATAGGTCAGAGTATTGACTGTTAATTTATGCATAGGAATGAAACTCTAATCTAATGAAAACCTGTCCAGAGTTTTCCCTCTCTTACTGAGCTGTGGCTTTTCGCACATTCCTTAGCACTCTTGAGTGGAGAGCTATTGACCCGTATCATGTTGTAGCTTCCAAACACCTGTTTCTTTATTTCTCTGTGTTTCTTTCATTTTTTCAGTCTAGCTCAGCTGAAGCAGGGGTTGCAGACAGATGAGCTCTGGACATTAACACAGAAAGTCTGGGTGATTTTCCCATATGTCTTTGAGTCCTGGCTATGTGGAGTAGAGTGGTTGGCTGGGATGGTGGTTATTCTCCAGGGAGTGCATTCCAGAGCTTTTGCATCATGTGAAAGTCAGCCTTTGCTGCCCCTTTGTCACTGTTTAGCTTTGCTGCCAGGAGGAAAAACAAACAAGATTGATTTTATTTTTGTAAAGCTTGAAAGCACAACTTCGTCCTATTTGGAACAAGTAGATGGGACAGAAGCTATTTTCAACTGCTCCTGTATTCACAAGGGGTCACCACAGATAGCTCTGCGTGTTTTATTTGCCAGATTTTCTTTTTCTTTTTACAGCTGATGCCCTTCCTGACCAAACCCCAAAGAGATTTGTGTCTCCTCCCGGGATCAGTGGCAGGATATATTTTACAAATTGTTCTGTCATCTCTTTGAAGAACTTGTAAAATACTCAAATGTCTGAGAAGATTGAGTACAGAACATAGATTTGCTAGGTATATTTCTGACAGTCGCATATGTTTAATTTAATTGTATAAATCTGTTGAAAGTCTATTGAATTTTTTATAAATTCTATTAAAATCTCATAAATGAGCAAATAGCTTTATAAATATCTGCATTAAATATTGTTTTAATTATGTGTCTCTGGCTGCAGATGCTGCCTTGTGCTATCAGCTTTTTTGCCAGGAGAGGGCGCTGTCTCCTAAATAATGTGGTCTGTCCTTTGAAAATCTACGTAAATCTATTTATTTAGAAAGCCGTTGAATTAAAGGATTAAAATAAGAGTAAAAGGGCAGAAAAACATATCTGGGATATCACATGCATCACTGAATAAATGCTGACGGATTTTCGGATGTTGTGGCAGTAGAAAAAGCCCAGTGGTACATGGGTTGATGCCACGTACATGAATTAGTTTAAATGAATGGAAATTCAGCCTCGGTATAGCCTAAACAGGACCTACTAACCCGTCTGGCTGCTTTTCAGATGATTTGTGATTAAATAGCAGGTTGGGGACTTTTGGATGATGCAATCAACATGGCAGCCGCATTTCGCATATGAGTGGTAATCCCTTTCTTTCAGTTTCAAGGAAAGAAAAAGTAAAGAGAAACGTGTTTGTCATAAAAAAACAAATCAAGTTTTTCTACATGTAATTCCTTCTGCACCAAAAGATGAGACTGTTTGGCCAAGCATGCTTAAGCAGTTTAATTTGATACAGTACTTTTTAAAACTGCTAATAGTGATTCAGTCCCCAGCTTTTGATTGATGTTGTTTTAGAAAAATTAAACTTCATTCTTAAGCCCCAATTTCACCTGACACCTGCGTCAGCATACCAGCGTGTCAGTGGCTGACAACATGTTTATCTGAACGGGTCATTTGATGAATTTGTTAAAGTCAGTCACACCAGGCTTGTCCCATTAACACTTAGAAGAAAGATAGCTAACAGACTCAGTGCTTCAGTGTATATTACAAAGTGTGGAGTGGACTTCTCGTACTCTCTATGTCCCCACATTATGGATGGATGGGTGGATTGGTGGGCGGATTTAGCCCACAGTGACATATGTGAATAATCATGTATCAACATTGCAGCACAACTCAAAAACACAGAGTTTTATGGATTCCATACTCTTGACCGTGTAGCCCTAAAAGTTGAGCTTATTTCTGTGATGTACAGTATAATTTGCTGACAAACTGGCAAAAGAAGAGAAGGGAGGATTCTTGCTGACAAAAAGACGGGAAAAAACATGAAAGAGTCCTTTTCCATGAAGTGTGTGTGAGTGTGTGTTGCGCTTAAGTGGTTTTACTGACACAAAGCTTTCTCATGCATAATTTATATTACACCCATACTTCTGTGAGGGGAGGTGGGCACTAACTTGATTTTTTAGAATTACTTTTTGGCTGAGGAAAAGCAGAGGATACACGCACCCTCACACACAAATGCAGTTTCTTAAAGTGTAATAAGCGATGGTCCGTTAATAATCATTCTTAACTTCCCAGATGGCTTTCTACAACAAATTCGCCAGAGTGGGTGTGCGAGGGAGGAGGGGTTAAAGACTGGGAGGGTGTAGATTGCAGACAGAGCGGTAGTGGGGTTGGCTGGATTGTGATATCGACAGATGTCTAGAAAATTGTGTGAGGGGCACTCGTCGGATAGTCTACAACACACGGACCCCAGGCTGCACCTCGGAGAGCAGGGGCGGAATCTGCAGCTGTCACTCCAAAAAGCCTTACCTCCATTACCACATCCAGCCACAGATTGCAAAAGAAGCCGAGCTGGTTACGCACTAGAAATACAGGTAAGTGTCGTCACAATGATTTAAAAAAAAAAAAAAAAAAGATTTCATTTTTTAAAATGTTTTATATTCAATTTCGAGCAGTGCGATGTTGTAAAAAAGAAAAAAAGAAAGAAAGAAAGAAAAAAAGAAAGAAAGAAAGAAAGAAAGGTCGTCCTACCTGTGATGAATCTAGTTTATCTGCTTTTATCATTCCTGCTGTGCTGCTTTTTTCTTTATTTTTATAAACTACAGCTGAAAATGTGTTTAATAAAGGGAAGACTTTTTTTGTTCTCAGTTGTTGAATCAGCGTCTTCCAGGCAAGTAGCGCTTTTTTAAAAGTAGGCCAGGCGGTTGAAATCCTTCTGCCATTATAACGAAACCGCAGAATAAAGTTGTTAGTGTGGACGCAGTCAACACATTGTTGTAAAGAATTTCGTATTTTTTTTGCACGCTTATGCGCGCGAGAGGCATTTTCAAAGCAGCTGGACACACAAAAAAGAAGAAGGGCAGAGCAGCTGAGGGAAGCGATGGGTGGGTGGCTTTGAAAAGGGGGGATGTATACCCCTCTATAGCCTTTATCCTTCAAATCTTCCAGCATAACGTTAAATCCACCTGGTTATAGCGACTAATTGAAGTCCGCACTAAAGTAGGTCCCGAGCCTGGGGTCGTCTTTTTTTTCCCTGTCAACTTTGTCCAAACCGTTACTTTTATCGGGATGTAACGCCTAGCGAGGAATCACAGTCCTTTGTTACCGGCCGGCACATGCTGCCGGTTACATGCAAGCCTCCTTTATCTTCCCAGTGTTTTAGCGTGAAGAATTTTATCTACTTTTTGACCAACTGGAAAATTGGCTTTACACAGTAATAAACTGTTAGATTGGATTATTTCAGTGGTCTGAAATATGAAGTCTTCCCACATTATAAAATTTTGCTTTGTCTGACTGGGAGGCCCCGTGACACTGGGAACATGAATGGGCGAATTAAAAGAAATTAATAAATAAATATCCTCACGAACACGATCAGGCACATAATACAAGTAAGATACGAAGCGAGTGGAATAGATTAAAAAAAAAAAATACAGTTTTTATTTTTTGTTGTTTTAATTGGAAGGTTTATAGAATCCAAATTGCTGTATTGGGTTGGCTCTCCGGTATGTGTCGCATCCTGTCGTTAATGCCCTCCTGCAGCACTATGGACAGTTCCCGGGTTGTTCGTACCTGTGCCAACATGCTTCACTGCAGGTGAAAACTCCAGCATGTGACAGTTTTGCAGACCAAACAATCAACCAACCAAACAAACAAGAACACTGAACAGTATTTCTGCCTTATTAAATGAAAATGTTCCGTGTAAAAAAAATCTGTCTGTATCTTTAGTGGGAATCAGGGTGTTTAAGTACTCCACTCTTATGAATAATTTAGGCTTATATTCAGAAAGTCTGCAAGGTTTGCTGAAAACCAATTGCAGGGATAAGGCTGAACTCCCAGTTTTGCTTTAAGGAAGTTATGTGGCAATCATTACACTTCACTTCCTCCACAGTCAAAACATGATCACACGGAAGTACGTGTCTGTAACATATTTTCTGTACTGGCAGAATGACAGTTGTGGTTTGTGCTGAAAATCCACATTTCTCAGCTAGTTTAGATGAATGGACATAACTACAAACTCTGGGAGATTGCTGCCTGCACGCTGGGAAACTTATGACACTACTGAGGGAGAAATAGTTGCGCATCTACATCATAGATGTTCAACTCAGACTTGTGGGTTCACTTGGCGCTGATCCTCACCACGCATTCCTTAAAGGGTAGTGGGTCTGCTTGGTTGTCTGATCTCACTGAGGTTCCCATGTGCTGACATTGGTTTTCCAGACAAATTGCAAATGGCAGACATCATTTCCTAACTGAACTTCTGGTTTACTTTAACATAAGATACTTCTTTACTGAAATGAAAGTGTTTCTTCATTTACTTCTCCTTATATTCCCTCTAGTCATTTAAATGTAATTTCATTAAATTTAGAACATTATAGAACATTATATGCTTCTATTAGATCTAAGAAAAGCTTCAAAACTATGGCATTTCTGCTTTCCGTGTATTTAGTCTAGACATACTAGATTGTTTTCATCCATTTAGTGGAACGTTTTAGTTTGTATGGTTTCCTTGTGTGTGCAAGGACTTTTGATCCACAACCCAGGGATGGGGTCACATCAGGGGTACTGGGAACATGAACATATATTAGACTCCCCCTGAACATGAACGTAACATTTACGACGAAATAAAAAGGCCAAAAACCAATCAATTTCTTATTTTTTCCCCTAGGAAACATCATGGGAGGCAAGCTGAGCAAAAAAAGAAAAGGATATGATGTGAGCGATCCAAAAGACAAGAAGGATGAATCCCCTGCAACAGTTGCAAGTGCAGACAACTCTGCTAAAGGGGAAGGTGGAGCCCCGCCTACAGGAGAAGAGACAACAGCAGAGGCAGGCAACGTAGAAGACGAAAAGGCTGTGACAGCAGAGGCAGCGGTACCTCAAGAGTCAGAAGCACCTGAAAAATCTGAGAAGGAACCAGCGGCACAATCAGATTCCCCAGCTGTGGAAGAACCAGTAGCATCTACTGTTAAGGAACCAGTTGCAGAAGCAGCGCCAGAGGATGTAGCTCCAGTTGTAGAGGAACCAGTCGTGGCAGCAGATGAAGCCGCTACAGTAGCAAAAGAACCAGCTGCTGCAGCGGATAAAGCAGCTCCAGTTGTAGAAGAACCAGTTGTGGCAGTGGTGGAAGTAGCTCCAGTGAAAGAAGAACCAAGTGCAGAATCAAAGGAGCCAGCTCCAGAAAAAGAAGAAGCAACTGTAGTATTGGAACAAAGTGCAGCAGTACAAGAGCAAGCTCCAGAAGACCTTGCAGTGGCTGCTGTAGCAGAGAAACCTTCAGCCCCAACATCAGAAGAATCTGTGCCAGTCGAAGCTGAACCCAAGTCTGAAGAGGTCCATGAAGAAGAACCTGTTGCAGTTGCTGAATCGGTGTCAGAGGCCACCAAAGCGCCAGAGCCCATCCCAGAGACTGAGCCTGAAGCTACTGTGGAGGAGACCGTGGTCTCTGCAGCTGTCCCTGAGCCTGAACCGGTGGCTGAGCCAGCAGCTGAACCAGTGCTGGAGTCAGCCACAGAACCAGAGGAAGAGCCCAAGCAAGAGCCAGAGCAAGCAGCAGAGCCAGAGGCGGAGCCAGAGAAAGAAGAAGAGCCTGAGCAAGAACTGGAGCCAGAACTAAAACAGGAACCAGAGCCAGAGATTGTGGAGACAACAGAACCTGAGCCTGAAACAGAACAAGCCCCAGAGGCAGAGCTGGAACAAACATCAGAGCCAGGACCTGAGCAAGAGGCTGAGGCTTTGAAAGCTACAACAGAGGATCAAGTGGAAGAAACTGAAGCTGAGCCGGTTGTAGCCACTGACGTGAGTGAAGTGGCGACTGTGGGAGGAGACTCTTCTGATTTCACGGAGGCTACCGCAGAGGATACCCTCATTGATCAAGCTGCAAAAGAGGAATCTTTTACACCAGAAGCTCCCAGCACTGAGGTGCCAGATGAGCTCAAGGAAGCAGAACTTGTATCTGAGGTTGTCATCGCCTATGCGTGCGAAGCTGCTGTCAAATCTGAAAAGGCAGCTGAGCCCTCCGTGGAAGCAGTGCCTCAAGCAGAGCCGGAGGTGGAAAAGAAGTTGGAAAATGGAGATTTAAAGAGCCCCTCTGTTACCGAGGATGCAATTCCATCTGTGAATGGGGAGTGTAAAGATCCTGACACTGCCATGGCCACACAGGCAGAGGAATGTGTTAATGGGGGTGAAATGCCAGAGGAGATCCCTATCAAGGAGCCGAGTGACCTTGAACTGAAAAAGGACTTGAACCTGAGTGGGGATGGTCCAGAATTTCCTGATGCAGTCTCAGACATGGTGGATGGCCTGAGCACTGAGGTCACTCAAGAAGCTTAAAAGCAGGAAGCATCATTCAAATCAAGTATAATTCCCCCCGTGGTGCAAGAAAGCCGTCGAGGTATCACAAACACAGCTACGCTTTCTGAAATGCTGTAACCACTGCAATCTCTTTAGTGGCAACTCAGGCAAAAAGGATGCTTTCTCTTGAGTAACCAAAAACGAAGCCCAACCACTTGAGGATAGAGGGACACAGGGAGATATTTATAGTGAGATAGAAGTGCCGTGAAGAGACTGAAGTTTGGAATTCGAGTACAGAAAAGCAGTGAAGCTGGACAGCTTGGCAAAAAAAAAAAAAAAATACTGGACAGCAAAAACGACATTGTTCAGTAAAATAAAGGAATGTGTCTGTGTGTGTGAGGCCGATGAATATTACAAAGTGGCTTAATGGAAAATCTGTCATTATTAGTATATTATTTGATTTTAGAAACTCAAATATCCTTTCTATTACTATATGCAAAGACGTGATGTGTTTTGGCCTTTTATAGTAATGGTACCTGTAAGGATTGTTTAATTAAAACCAATTGTTCAGAATAGAGAATAAAAAGAGACTGTTTTAGTCTACAGTGATCTTCTTTTTCTTTCAAACGTTCTCTCAGCATCAAACGCATCTGAAGCCTTGGTTTACTAATATTAATTGTACTTTATGCTGTGACTCACATCATCCGTCATTCTTTTACTTAAAAAAAAAGTTTGATAACAAAGATTACGCTTGTGAATACGAGCCCATTTGGTTTGTGTGTCACAAAATCTACTTCGAATTCAAATCAGAGACTTTTTATGAATCATTTGCCTCAAAGGGAAATGTTCTAGAAATCCATTACATAATTTTATGCATTTTTTAAAAACATTCACTCTGGCCTGGTGGAAATGTTGTAATTTGCATTTGATTTTTAAATTTCTTTTAGGCTTGAGCAAGGCACTGACCCAACCAGCTCTATAAAAATCTATATTTGAATTGCAGTTTTGCTGCGTTTGCAATAGTAGCAGAGCATCAATATTTACACAACATCAAAAGCGTCCGTTCATTTAGGCTCCGCCTCTACAGGTCAGTGGGTTAGAGCTCAGTCGATTATTTATGTCCACACAGGGCAATGTCCTTTAGGTCACTAGCTGGTGGAATATTTTCAGTTATTGTATGCAACCTGCACGTCACAACTGAACAAACAAAATGAATCACCGCACACGGTCTATCTTCTGAGTTAACTGTTGCCTCTATCTCTCTGATGTCACCATGGCTTTTGCTGAGGCCATACCAGCACACCCAGCTAACATTTCACAGATCCATACCGGCAAAAGGGGAACTAAAGAAGGGGGGATGGGCAGGGATACTTGCAGGAGGCAGAGAAAGGGAAGAGGGGGAAGGGGAGGAGTGTTGTGGGATGAAAGCCATTGCTATCATGAAGGAAAAAAAATGGCATTCTCTGCTTTTTCAGTTTGTAGTTCACATATTAAAATGACCAAAACAATAAATTCAGGGCAGGGATAAACGTGCTTTGACACTTATCGGAGGCCTTCTTGTTGAAAGCTGCCCTCTCCTGCTGCTCACACTGCCACACCAGACAGTTGTTGCCGTGCAGGTGTTAACGCACATACATTAACATGAGGCAGCAAAATGAAATTAGCGCTTCTGTGCATCTGTCAGTACATGCATGGAAAGTGAGGAGGAGGGCGAGTATGTGTTCTGTGCGTGCGGAGGGGAGCATTAGCGGAGTATAGTGATCCAACCTTGGAATAACTAATGGACCGTGGGTCAGAGCATGAGAAGAGATCTGATAACAGAAGCTTCCCATAAAAGCAAGTGTCCATCCCAGATGTCTCTTGACTGTTAGAAAACAAATCCAGTATACTCCAAGGCAGCAAATTTATGATAGGAATGCTGTGGAGTGGGTTTGGGGGTAGAAATTGGAATTTGCTGGCAGTTTTTTTGTCTTCTTTGTGGAAAAATCAGGTCAAAATACCATTTATAATATTTATGACTTTTAAAGTAATTAGTACAACTCATGATGTATTTCCTAAAACGACAGTTTGGCAGGACCATGACTGACCCCTGCTAACCTCCATGGATAAAGGTTTGGGGGAGGCTGACAAACAAACAGAATGGTAACAGCAAAATCCGTCGATTTAGACTTCTATTACTGCATATTAATTAGTATGACTAAGGATTTACCAGATTTCATGTTTGAAACATTATCCCAAAGCCTCATCACTTCCACATTTCCCTGCAGTTCACTTTTCTTTTTTCGTGTGTGTGTTTGTGTTGAAGAACAGGGTACTTGTCCTTTGCATGTTGATTTAAACACTGCCTTAAAGTTGCATAGCCGTGAAAGGCCAGCTGCACTGCCTAGTTACCCAAACACTATGGTCTCTATACGCAAGGTCCTGCACAAAGCTCGGACTGTGTCTCAGCTTCTTTTTTCCTGGTGTGAAGACTAGCCTCCAGGCTTTATCTATCCCCAGCTGAGATGCAAAAAGAAGAAGGAAACAAACAAACTAAAAAGGCCTAGTCCAAAGGCTATATTATAAGGATTTCCATGAAGCACCAAACTACCAGGTTTAAGTGTTGTTGCATGCACCCATAGACTTTATTTTAATGGATGTTTTGTTGTTAGATATAAATCAAATTGATGGAGGAAGGTCAGCATTAACTATACAACAATTAGCATAACTTCCTAATGACTTTATTGTGGCTGTGACCCTTCAGATAAAGCGGTGTCCAGATTCTTGTTTAAAACTTGGCTACTTAGTGTTATCAGCAGGAGTTTATTAGAAGAAGACTGAAATAAATGAAGATGGCATTATTATTATATCATAAAAAACTCAAAGATGTAAAACACCTTCAAAACTAAACTCTTTCCCCAGTTCAGGGCTCATGATCCAAAAATGGCAAAAAGAATAAATACATAAAAAGACGTGTTGATTTTGACTGTTTAACCCTCGTTGATATCCATCCTGTACGCTAAGCTTCAGAGACAAGAAGCAAGAAGCAAGTCACCACTTTATCTGAAAGGCCGCAAACATGAAACCACAAGGAAGTTATGTTTAGTTCATCGTGGTAGCAACATTTGGTATAATAGGCCATTACTGTCATTACTGCTGAGGTTTTTTTTTAAAGCTGGTTCCATGAACTAATGATGAATGATGAGCTCATTCCAACCTGGATGTCCTTAATGTAAAGTATTAATACATTTGTGACAGAGTCAAGTACAAATGAGTGCCATCTTGATTGAAGTCCTTTACATTATGACTGGATAAGTATGCAGTTATACTGCATTAAAATTTTAGATATTTAGATAATTAATTTAATGTTAAATTAATTTTCATCATGTCTTTTTTGGAAGCCTCTTAAAACGTTTTCAGATCTGTAGGATTTTCCAACTCTGGTGTCAATACTTGGACAGTCAAGAAGTATTGGCTTGCTTTACTTCAGTAAAAGTAGCAATATCAAAGTGCCAAAATACTTATAATCACAAAAGTATTTAACTGAAGGCTAAGCACTCACGCACTGGTTTAAACAGTACATGGCAATGTGTGATCTTCTCATTTGTTTGTGTGTAACCAAAGCTACAGTGTGGTACAGTATCTCTTAAATGTAGTAAAACAGAATGAATCCTGTGAAATAATACAAAACTACACATAAGTATAGTTGAGGAAATATAATGCCGGATTCTAAGTATCTATCTAAATGTATGTTAACTTATAAATCTATGTAGCTTATATCACCTCAAACCCTGGTAATATATGGCTGTTATTAATATATTTCAGAGCCTTTACTTTGCATACAAACATGTCTGACTCTTCACAGACTGTCACTCACGACAAATTTGCCCGAGGCAATATTTAACAGTTTCCACCCCAGTTCCTATCTAGAGGGCAGTTATATTTAATGACTCCACTGTCCTGTGTGCTTCTGAGACACAATCTGTTTAGTTTTGACTTTTTTAATTACCAAAAGGAGGATGTGAGAGTGTGACGGAAGACAACTCAGACTTCTGAAATACTTTGTGTCTGAGAGATATTCTTTTCCTCATTCCATTCACTCAGCTGGCTCAGAGATAACACGAGTCAGGTGGCCAAATTACAGCGACAACTGATCACTATTTATTATTCAAACAACAGGGCATCAGAGCAGAAGTACAGACAGGAAAACATACACGACGAGACAAACAGTTCACTCTTCCCTTTTCACAATCTCTCATCCC